TCCCCCCCTTCCCCCTCGGTCCCCCCCTCCCTCCAGTGGCCAGCGGTTCGTCATACCCTTCTCTCCCCTCCCCCCCCCCCACACACATACACACATATACACACACGCCCTCCGCCGCGTCCCCTCAGGCCCTCCAGCGGCGAGTCAACCAGCGCCGTACCCCCGACACCTCCCGCACCATCAGGCTCCTGGCGGAACAAGATATGCTGCCAGCCATTTGGTTCATTTTGAGCAGGTGTGTATGTGTGTACCTGTACGTATGCATGTATGTATGTAAATATCCCCCGTCATCATCTTGCTCTCTCGCTCTCTCTCTAAGCGCCGTAATTCCCGCCGCTCCCCCCCCCTTACCTCCTATGGAGTCCGCGGTGGCGTTCCGGTGGCAGTTCATTCCCCTGGTTTCCTTGCAGCATTTGGATTTCATTCCTCTTCTCACCTTGAATATTCGTGTAATCGTTTTGTGTTCCCTTTTTTTCGCCACCCAGGAAGGATTGCGATGTGAACGCTCTCCGCGCCGGCGGCTTGCTGCTGACCAGCCCCGCGGACCAGGAGGCGATAGCGGCGGAGGTGGCGGCGCTGAGGGCGGACCAGCCCGAGGCGGTGCGGGAGGAGCTGGTGCCGGGTAGGGGTGTGTGTGTGTGTTTTGGAGGGGGGGAAGAAAGAGGTTGGGACGGACGGAGGGAGAGAGGGAGGGAGGGAGAGACACAGCGCGTGTGTGTATGTGTATGTGTATCAGGTTCTCGCTCTGTGACTTCCAAACCCTACGCATGGACGCACACACATACATACATACATGCATATCCTGGATGTATGTGTAACCTGATGGTGGATTACTGATGCGGAGTACACGACACGGCTCCAAATACGTTTCGGTAACCAAGCTCACACGCAGTTGCGGCTCCAGCAGCAGTTTGCAACTTTGGATGCCGACAGGGGGGAGTTGTGTTTTCCCTGGTTTTCCCTCCATGCCGGGGTGTCCTGTAGTCTCCATCCGGGACTCGGCCGTTCTCCTCCTCCTCCAAATTTACTAACCGAGTCAGTTCCCAGTCCGTCCGGACAGATCCCCCAGCAAGAGGGAGGAAGAGGAAGAGGAGCTGCGGTGGGCCCCCGGCCCCGGGAAGCCGCCCTAAGCCTAAGCCCGACCTCAGGCCCACACCGCTTTCGCACCACCATGATCAGGATTTTACCATTACTACCCTCTTCCCCACCACCACCACCACCCTCTTCCCCACCACCACCCCCTTCCCTGCTGTCGTGTTCCGCTTTCCAGCGCTCATCTCCGGCATCGCCAGCCACCACGCCGGTCAGCTGCCGGGCTGGAAGTCCCTGGTGGAGAGGCTGTTTCAGCGCGGGCTGCTGCGCATGGTGTTCGCCACCGGCACACTGGCGGCGGGTATCAACATGCCCGCGCGCACCACCGTCATATCATCGCTGTCTCGCCGTACGGACGACGGCCCCCGGCTGATGCCACACAATGAGCTGCTGCAGATGGCGGGCAGGGCGGGGAGGAGGGGATACGACACGGAGGGAAACTGCGTCGTGCTGCAAAACAGGTGTGTGTGCGTGTATGTGCGTGTATGTGTTTCCACCCCTTCATTCACCCCTTCATTTCCCCCCGGGTGCCTTGTATCCCCTGTAAACCCACCCACCC